GCCGCACACAACCCTGGCGACACGCCGCACACAACCCTGGCGACACGCCGCACACAACCCTGGCGACACGCCGCACACAACCCTGGCGACACGCCGCACACAACCCTGGCGAGACCAGGCACATTCTGCTGAGACCCCGCGCAGCCCTGGTAAAACAACGCACACAGCCCTGGTAAAACAATGCACGCAGCCCTGATGACAAGCAGACTCCCAAAGCCTAGCTGACACAGTAGGAACAAGTAGGAACCCAACAAGAAAGGAAAAGGCCTGTTAATTTGTGTGATGGCACCGGGGGGGAGAATAGGAGGCAAGGGATTAGCCTAGAGCTGCAACAACTTATCGATTAAAATCGATGATGGGAATAGTTGGCAACTATTCCCATCATTGATTAATTGATTTTCGATTAGTTGCTGGCAGCGGAGGTACGAGGAGGGGATTTCAGAGTCACCGGCTGCGGTCTCTTCTACCTGCTGGTGCTGGCTGCAGTGGTCTGTGTCCCTTTCACAGACCTTGTAGCCGGCATGAGAGTGGAGAAGAGACTGCGGCCGGTGACTCTGAAATCCCCCGCTGCCCCACTCCCCCCCCTTGTACCTCCGCTGCTGCTGCTTTTCTGGCCTCCCGTCCCAGGAGCGTGGAAACCCTATCGCCCGACGCCTGGGACATGCAGTTTCCCGGCGCGGGCGAGTAGTTTTTTTGTACATTTAGCCCTGCTCCGGACAAGCAGAGCTAAATGTATAGTGTGGAGCCACCGATCATTTGATCTGATCAATCAGCAGAGGAAGACCTGATGGAGAACTTTCTCCTTCAGTTCCCTCTGCTGCTGATGGACAGCGGGCAGTGGGCGGGTGCACTAGCAAGCCTGCTATTGGCTTTTGCAATTTCTGGTTGCACCTACATAGAAAAACGACGATTGCGCTACACATGTCAGGTATTGCCGTGTATTTTATTTAAAATTATTATTTTTTTAAATCCAATAATTGATTAATCGAGGTTAATATTCGGCTAACTAATCGATTATGAAAATAATCGTTAGCTTCAGCCCTAGATTAGCCTATAAGCCTAAAGGGGTGGGGTGCTCTGTGCACCTGGGTGCCAGAGACTGATGTGACTGGCCCAGTGTTTTCTGTACAGCACTGTACACAGTACAATATTGAGTTGGCCCACCCGTTGCAGCTATAACAGCTTCAACTCTTCTGGGAAGGCTGCCCACAAGGCTTAGGAGTGTGTCGATGGGAATGTTTCACCTTTCTTCCAGATGGGCATTTGTGAGGTCAGGTACTGATGTTGGACGAGAAGGCCTGGCTCGCAGTCTCTGTTCTAATTCATCCCAAAGGTGTTCTATCGGGTTGAGGTCAGGACTCTGTGCAGGCCAGTCAAGTTCCTCCACCCCAAACTCTCTCATCCATGTCTTTATGGACCTTGCTTTATGCAATGTGCGCAGTCATGTTGGAACAGGAAGGAGTCATCCCCAAACAGTTCCCACAAAGTTGGGAGCATGAAATTGTCCAAAATGTCTTGGTATGCTGATGCCTTAAGAATTCCCTTCACTGGAACTAAGGGGCCAAGCCCAACCCCTGAAAAACAACCCCACACCATAATCCCCTCCGCCACCAAACTTTACACTTGGCACAATGCAGTCAGGCAAGTACTGTTCTCCTGGCAACCGGAAAACCCAGACACGTCCATCAGATTGCCAGACAGAGAAGCGTGATTCATCACTCCAGAGAACACATCTCCACTTCTCTAGAGTCCAGTGTCGGCGTGCTTAACACCACTGCATCCGACGCTTTGCATTGCACTTGGTGATGTAAGGCTTGGATGCAGCTGCTCGGCCATGGAAACCCATTCTATGAAGCTCTCTACGCACTGTTGTTGTTCCAATCTGAAGGCCACATGAAGTTTGGAGGTCTGTAGCTATTGACTCCGCAGACAGTTGGTGACTTCTGCGCACTGTGCGCTTCAGCATACGCTGACCCCGCTCTGTCATTTTACATGGCCTACCACTGAGTTGCTGTTGTTCCCAGTTGCATCCACTTTGTTATAATGCAGGGCTGCAACAACTAGTCGACTAACTCGATTATAATGATTGAAAAATTTGCCAACATTTTCAATCATCGATTAATCAGCTTTCGATTAGTTGGCCCTCTTCACGGCTTCACACACGCCGCGTGCCGCACCTCCTCCCCGCCTCACGCTTGCCGCTGCCAGACTCGCCCGCATCCACGCTCCACACGCCACACCTCCTCCCCGCCTCACCCTTTCTGCTGCCAGACCAGCCAGCCTGCATCCACACGCCGCACCTCCTGCCCGCCTCACGCGCACCACCCACATCCACGATCTGTACAGGGACGCGGGGAGAAGAAGACGTAAGGAGGAGCAGGTGTGAGGGGATGACAGCCGCCGACAGACAGGCCCGATCTAAGAAGCAAGTTGCTGGAAGACTGCTCAGGTAAGCCTGCACTTTCCCACACATGGTGCTCTATAATGTATTGCTGGGACCACTAACACTAACTAATACCACTAACAGGTGACCGTGGAATATTTAGTAGCAAGAACATTTCACGGAACACCTTATTCCAATGATTTACAATAGATTGTAAGCTACTTTGTACAGAGACTGACGTGACGTGCTCAGTGTTCTCTGTACAGCACTGTGGTATATGTCAGAACTATATAAATGTATAAAAAAGTAGTGTGTGACTATGGCAAGGACACTAGAGTGTAAGCTCCTCGGGTGCAGTGGTGCAGAAATCAGGGGCATACCAAGGCTGGGATGATAAAAATCTTGCACCAGGGCTCTTTGTTCCTCAGGTCTGTCACCAGTGGCCCGCATCTAATCGTATATGAAGTTATTACCTGTGGAGTGGGATAGATGATTGCCCCTGGACGCAATCTGTCTGCTTCCAGGGACAATCCTCTATCCCAAACTGCAGCTAATCATACCATGAACGATTACATGCAGACTGCCACTGACAGATGTGTCCACTGAGATCGTCCACTGATAGGCTGACATCGGCCACATATGTATGGACACAACTGGGATTCCTGACGGAAGAATTTGTAGGTTATTGCAGCAAGAATCCCCAGATGCAGCATTTAAGTGCCATATACCCTCAATACCAGCATGCAAAAAATGAGTTCTGAGCTGAGCAACAATGACTTGAAATGACTTGGCATGAAAAAGACAAACTGTTGCAATTCCTGTTCTAATGTCTAGTACGATCCTCCTATTGCCTTGTGAATCCGTTTACCTCCAAATAGAAGAGGTCCAGCGATGTGATCTGCGAATCCAGAAAGTCTTCATAGGTGTTGAACTGAGTGATGATCCCTTCCATAGCACTGGCAGTCTCTTCTTCCTCCATTGCGCTGTATCCAGGTTTACCGCGTCCTCAGCAACAGAGGGCGGAGCGATTGATGGAGGCAGGACACGTGAGTGCCAGCAGCCAATAACAGCTGAGCCGGCTACAACATTAGACAGATAGTGTAGCGCACGCGTAGTGTAGTGACAGCTCGCGGATTAGCGATCCTCCTCTGTGCAGGATTCCTGCTTTCATGAGAGTCGTCTCATGTGAAGGAGAACTCCTTGAAATTATTCTGTTGACTCATGTATAATACTAGTACATACGACGTTTTGGGGACACTGAGACTCTTTTAAGCTGGGTGACAATGCAATTAATAACATACTTATTCATAAACATGTTCAGGGCGATTTAATAAAGCTTTTGTGACAGTGTTCTGGCATTAGGGCCTTTTTAGGAAACTGCGCCAACTTCATAAAAGCAGTGTGACAGTTCAATTGATAGTACCAATGTATGAAAACAAATTCAGGTAGTTCTTTATTAGAGATACATTTACTTTATGTCGCAATGGCTGCCACAAATTCATGAAGCAATATTGGGGATTAATCAAAACTGGAAAAGACAGAATCTGGAGTAGTTGTCCATAGTAACCAATCAGTTTCTCCCTTTTATTTTTAAAGCCCAACTGAACACACTGCAAGGAGAAGCTAAATGGTTGCCATGGGCAACTGGTCCAGTTTTGATAAATTGACCCAACTGATTTTTCAGAGATAAGGAAACTGGCAGTAGATAAGAATTAGTTCAATGTAAAATAATTTGTCCCGTCCCGTCCCCCCACATCATTGGTTGCTATGATGCTGGTAACTGGGTCCCCTAAGCCCTACAGGGTTATTCACACAAAAGGGTGAAGAGTTTGGAGAAGTGAACAATCTAGGACAACATAGCTGAACTGGAAAGTGAGCTGAATTGGAGAATTTTTCCAAATCAGCTATTTTGTCCTAGATTGTTCACTTCTCCTGCCTTCTCCAAACTCTTCACCCTTTTGTGAATAACCCTGCTAGCAACCAATTAGGCTGTGCAGTGAGGCCACCAGTACCCTAGCAACCAAATATGCTATGTAGCTAAACCATTGGTTGCTAGGATGCTGGTGGCCTTGTCACATAGCGCCTGGACTGTGTCCTAGCAACCAATAACCATTGTTGCAGCGAGGCCACCAACATCCTAGTGACCAAAGATACTGTACAGCTAAGCCTCATTGGTTGCTAGCATGCTTGTAGCCTCATCACATAGTGCCTGGCCTGTGCCCTAGCAACCAATGGCTCTGTGTAGCGAAGCCACCAGCAGCCTAGCAACCAAAGATGCTGTGCATCTAAGCCTCATTAGTTGCTAGGATGCTGGTGGCTTTGTCACATAGTGCGTGGACTGTGTCCAAGCAACAAATGGTGCTGTGTAGCGTAGACATCAGCATCAGCAGCTCAGGTGGAAGAGAGGCCTCAGAGGGAGAGAGCCACTGCAGCTGCGGCGGCCACAGCAGACCCCCCACAACCAGGGTCCATGGAGTCCCCCCTGACCACGAGGCCAAGGTAAGCTGACACAATTTTTAACACAAAATCCGGGGACATTTTATCCCCGGGAACATAAAATAAAGCCATTTTTTTATATTCACCTGATCCCTGCATCCACCAAAAGTGCAGCCTCCTGCCTCCCACGCTGTTAGAAGCTGCATACAGCATGTGCTGATACCTACTTAAACCGACGTGCTGTGTGCAGCTTTTGAGAAGATACGCTATTAGCGTAGCGGGAGCGATGCAAAATATGCAGCCGGCTTCCTCCCAATGCTAATAGTATCTTCTCAGAAGCTGCACACAGCGCGCCAGTTTAAGTAGTAACCAGCACGCTCTGTATGCAGCTTCTAACAGCGTGGGAGATGGGAGGCTGCGCTTGTCGGTGGATCCAGGGATCAGGAGAGTATAAAAAAAAAAATTGGTGTATATAATTTGTCTGGGGACTTTCTCACGCTTGCTGCTGCCAGAGCCACCCGCCCACATCCACGCTGCACCTCCTCCCCGCCTCACGCTTGCCGCTGCCAGACCCGCCCGCATCCATACTCCTGTCTATAGCTGTTGGTAGTCATTATTGCTGGGATTTATAGTCCGCTATAGCTGATGGTATTCTGCATTGCTGTATAATGGTATTGCTGGGAATTGTAGTTCTCTATAGCCAATGCCATTCTGCAATGCTGTACAATGTATTTCTGAGTTAGTGGCAGAACTACCAGGGTCCCAGCAGTCATGCACACTCACAGCCCTGACGAGGCATCCCTCCACTACCAGTTTGCTTTACATTTCCTAAACCGATAAATACATTCACACTACGGTTACATGGATGGCAATAGTGGCAGGCAGGGGCGGGGAGAAGGTGGAAGAGGCAGAGCGGGAGGGGGGCCAAATTGCTGCACCATGGGCCTCTGGGTTGTACTTGCCACCTGGGCTAAAAGTTGCCAGTCAGCCCCTGATCAGCATCCTAGCAACCAAAGATGCTGTACATCTATGCCTCATTGGTTGCTAGGATGCTGGTGTCCTTGTCACATAGTGACTGGCCTGTGTCCAAGCAACCAATGGTGCTGTGCAGTGAGGCCACCAGCATCCTAGCAATCAATCATGCTGTGCAGCCAGTCTGCTTCCTAAAAAAGATGCAACATAACTGGTACATTCTGACAATTCTGACATGTACATAAATCTGTTGCATTACGTATTGACATTATTCACAAGTAAACATACTTAGTGCAAGGAGTGCTGGCTTTTATTGAGATGGACTGTTCTTGCAGTAGCCACCATGGGTCATGCACCTGGAATACCTGAGGCTGTGTATGTGTAAAGATAGTTATCCTTGTTCATGTGAATAAGTTCTGGCCGCAAAGGATGATGGGGTGGGTGCATGCGCTGTAAAGATCTTCGGCCGGGAGAAGAGAAGAGACACAGTGTAAGTCAATGCAGGCAGCATGCACCTGCACAGACTCAGTGGGTCACAGAAGACACAGCAGTCAGCGCTGGATCAGAGACCGGCACCAGCGCTGGAGGGATTGCTGAAAACTACCTGGAAGAAGAAGATAATCGCATCAAGAGGCATCACTTAAGGTTCATTTAAGTTATTTATGGTTCATTTAAGTCCTAAGTACACCAGCATAGGGGGGGTATACTTTAATGTCACAAGTTTGCCGTACACTGGTCTTTTTTTTTTACCGTTTGGGCTGTACGAAAAAAATATAGAACAGATTCCTCCATCTGTTGATGTATTCTGACAGCAGCCAATCAGCATTCGTTAGAAGATCTTCAATTTTCTGATCAAGAGATGCTAGCCAGAAAGTTGCCAAAAGTGGCACCAACGGTGCGAATTTGGGCTGGGTCACAAAGAAATTCACATGTATGCAGCTTTACTCCGTCACACAATACTGTACCTAAAATAATGTTATGTAATATTTTTTAGACAGATAGAACTTTCTTTTTGTACTATATAAAGGAAAATAAATCATACCAAAATAAAAAGTAGTAATGACCCCCATTTGGAAAGTAGACATTTCAAGGTGATCTGATTTTTTGCCACAATTTTTGGGAAATGAAGAATCATGCTGGTATTGAAGGGGTTTAAACATGGAGCTTGGTAATGGTAAACAAGATACAATAAGTGTACAGGTCATACATTAGCATCTGTACTTTTAACGTTTTTAAAGTTAGAGACAGATAGATTATGAAATCTACCTAATGTGTTATACAGTTTTAGGGGGGTGACACAGATAAGGTTTTAATTTAATTAATCTGGGTCAATTGATAGCCTCCCATGGTTTCCAATACCATCGTTATGCCGATGACACCCAAATCTATCTCTCCACTCCTCAACTCACCCCCTTTCTCTCTACACGTATCTCAAATCTACTCAGTGACATCTCAGCATGGATGTCACACCACTAACTCAAACTCAATCTGTCAAAAACTGAGCATATGATTTTTCCACCTCTCCGTGTTCCCTCCCCCAATTTTCCCATCACTATCAACAACACTACGATCAACCCTTCCCATCAAGCCAGGGTACTCGGTGTTATCCTTGACTCTGAGCTCTCCTTTCAGCCCCACATCCAATCACTATCCAAAGCTTGCCGACTCAACCTCCATAACATTTCCAAAATACGCCCCTTTTTAACAAACGAAACCACAAAGCTTCTAATTCACTCCCTTGTAATCTCTTGTCTCGACTACTGTAACTCCCTCCTTGTTGGCCTACCACTAAGCAGGCTATCCCCCCTTCAGTCTATCATGAATGCTGCTGCCAGACTGCCGCCCCTCTCTGCCAATCCCTCCACTGGCTCCCACTTGACCAACGAATAAAATTCAAAATACTAACAACAACATACAAAGCCATCTACAACTCCACCCCAACCTACATCACTGACCTCATCTCAAAATATCACCCAAACTGTCCTCTCCCTTCCTCTCGAGACCTCCTGCTCTCTAGCCCTCTCATTACCACCTCCTGTGCTAGCCTCCAGGACTTCTCCAGAGTGTCCCCCATCCTCTAGAACTTATTACCCCAATCTGTCCGCCTATCTCATACGCTGCCCACCTTTAGGCGATCCTTAAAAACCCATCTCTTCAGGGAAGCCTACCTCATCTCAGCATAACTGCCTTTTACTTCCTCCAATAACTCAATAACAGTACCGTAAATTGTATTGTAACTGTACTGTCTCCATTATTTTGTAAAGCGCTGAGCAAATTGTTGGCGCTATATAAATCCTGTATAATAATAATAATAATAATAATTTGGCAGCAAATTTTGATACATAGATCTTTATCCCCTAAGGGCCAATTAACACTAACCTGCTCAGGTCCGATACAACAAACAGAACAGTGTTCCATTTTGCTGGACCAGAATGTGCACAGATCCTCTCCTGATCAGCCAGTGTGAAAGGGGCCTAACTCTATTGGTAGTGTACAATGTGTGCACTCCGTTGAGATTGCATGCTGCATTTTCCCTCAGGGCATTGGCCATCACACGCGCATTGTGGTGTGAACCGATCATATA